GTGTACACCGCTGAGAATGGAGAAATTCCTGTACGCGATGAAAGTTTGCAAAAGGACGTCCCCGAGGGAACTATAGTTTTAAAAACGCCCATCTGGGAACCCTACACGATTTACAAACGTTTTATAGGAAGAAAAAAAGACGATAAAATAAATGCGTCTTTTCTCAACGAGAATAAAAAAACAGGAGTCACCGAAAAAATAAGTATCTGGATCCGTGGTAATTTTTTTATTCCGGACGCCAGAAAATTCTGGATCAAACCAAGCGTTGCTTATCTAAGCGATTACATTCAGAAACATAAAATTGATTACGTTATAAGCAGCGGTCCACCGCACAGCATGCATCTTATCGCTCTGGGATTAAAAAAGAAATTTCCACACGTTAAATGGATGGCGGACTTCAGAGATCCATGGACCAATATAGATTTCTACGAGAAACTTATGTTGAGTACCTGGGCCGATAAGAAGCATCATAAACAGGAATTGAGTATTTTAAAAAATGCCGATTCCGTTGTAAGTATTGGTCAGGCCATGAGTGATGAGTTTGATGAGATGTATCGCAAAGCCAGTGGTTTACAGACGCATAAATTCAAAGTGATAACGAATGGTTATGATGAAGATGATGTAAGTGGTGCTGTGGAAACTAAGGATTCTAAATTCAGTATTGCTCATATAGGTACGCTTGTTAAGGATAGAAATCCGGATTTGTTATGGAAGGTTTTAAATGATCTTGTAAAGGAGAATGCGGAATTTAAAAAGCAACTCGAAATAAAACTGGTTGGTAAAGTTGATATTTATGTGAAAGACCGGATTGAGCAATTTAAGTTGAGCGACTACGTTAGAAAAATTGATTATCTCCCGCACAACGAAGTTATCAAAGAACAACAACGCTCACGGGTTTTGTTGTTGCTTGTAAACAATACTAAAAATGCTAAGGGAATCTTAACCGGGAAATTTTTTGAATACATGTCTTCAGGCGCACCCATCCTGGCTATCGGGCCAACAGATGGTGACCTGGCTAAAATCATTAACGAAACTAAAAGTGGTTTGATCAGTGATTTTGAAGATGAGGAAAGTCTGAAAAAAAATATTCTGAGCTATTTCGACGGGAATTCCCATGTGCGCGATGAAGCTGCGATTTCAAGATATAGCCGGAGAGGTCTCACCAAACAGTTGTGCGATCTTCTGAACGCCTTATAAAATCAGGCTGTGAGTTGATTTAGTTTGTCGGTAAAAAACAGCGCCATTTTATTGGTGTAGAATTTATCTTTAAACTGTCCTACCCACTGCACACCATTTACGCTATTAGTTAAAAAAACCTCGTCACCATTCATCAGCGTGTAAGAAGTGATAGCGCTTTCGAAAGTGAGAATTTTATTTTCAGTAGCCAGACTCATAATTTGTTTTCTCATCACTCCGGCAACACAGCCTTCCGAAAGTGGCGCTGTATAAAGCGTTCCGTT